CAGTTGAGCACTTAACTAATGTGTTACCAGGATTTTGGTATTCCTTCCCCAGTCTTGTCAACTTTTTCTTTGTAAATTCTCATTTGCCCTTAGCCAGACCTTCTCCCTTATTCCCCAGCCTGGTCCTCACCTTATCAACAGAGTAGAATGTGCCACAGTTGATGAGTAAGGACCACAAGGAGGTAACATAGCAGATTTCAGCTTCGGCTTTTGTTATCTCTTGACTCAGAAGTAGGTACCAGACAAATGGAAACCTTGAAGGTGTGCTAAGGGTATGGTCATCCCATCCTCGACTTCTGCTAGTCTGCAACTTCTTCACCTTACAGTAACCTTGCCAGGCAGCCATCTGTCACCCCCATTTTAGTGGGGAGTAACTAATGTCCATAGTTCAAGTTGACTCAGCTACACAAGGAAATCTTTCATTGCTATGACCCATCCCCCCCTCCCCCATACACACACACTCCCTGTTCCCTCCTGCTCCCTCCCTGCCATACATTTAAGATGACCTTCACCAGTCTGGTTCTGGCAGGAGTCATTAATTTTTATTATTAAGTTGTCTACTGGGTTTGTCATTCTATTTACCTAAATGGGTCACACCCTTCTTGTAATTTACCTAGAACTAGCTTCCTGAAAGCCAATTCCTGTTGCCCCTCCGGCAACCTCCTGCAGGTGTGTTGTGTGAAATGCCTCATTTGAAAATTATTTTTATCTTTTCTTTATCAGAGCAGTCTTGTAACCAGCTTCCCACCCTTATCCCCTGGGGTGTATTCAGGCATACCCAGAATCAAGCCATGTCTCACCACCTCCACGTGTACTATAAATCTAGTTATTTCTGGTCTGGATTATTGCAAAGATCTCTTGGATGCCCTCCCCATCTAGGCCCTCCCCTCAACCCTTCCCCACTCTCTCCAGTGTTTTTCACACAGACCCATAGTGATCGTTTTAAAAGCATACTGCAGATTGTGTTACTTTTCAGGTCAAGATCCTCAAATGGTATCCCATGGCTCTCAGGCCAAAATCTTTACAATGGAAACAAATCGGCTTCCTACCTTTTCTTGGAATTCAGGTGTTCTCTCCTTGCAGGTGAGCACAGGCCCTCTGCCCCACTGATCCTGTCTTGAAGTATCCCAGATGCCCAGCTGATCCTACCCATTCCTCCCCCTAGAAAACCAAACCAATTGCAGAAGATCCCATTATTGTGACTCATGGTGATCCCTGGCGTATCACAGTAGAGCTGTACCATATTGTTTTCAAATCCTAGTGGTGTTGTGGGTTGGGTGTTGGGCTGCTAACCCAGGGCCAGTGATTCAAAACCATCAACTCCTCCATGCGGCTGTCTGCTCTCCTAAAAATTTACAGTCTCAGAAATACTATATAGGGTAGCAAAGACTCTTAAAGTCTTAAAGTGTTCAAGAGAAATGATGCCAGGTATGCCTGCCTCAGCTATGGTATTTTCAATCAACTCATACACATGTGAAAATTGGATAACAGATAAGGAAGACCATGGAAGAACTGGATGCATTTGAATTATGGTGTTAGTATGTGAAGAATATTGAAGTTATCATGGATTACCAGACGAACAAAAAACTCTGTCTTGGAAGAAGTACAATAAGAATGTGCCTTAGAAGAGCTGTTGTTAGGAAAGACCAATTCCTGAAGAAGGACATCATGCTTGGTAAAGTGGAAGGTCAGTGGAACAGACAGATGGATACAATAGTAGTAGCCATGGACTCAAACAGAATTGTGAGGCTAGTACAGGACTAGACAGTGTTTCGTTTTGTTGTACGTAGGGTCATTATGAGTTGGAACTGACTTGATGGTACCTACCAATAACGATTCCTGATGTGGTGCTGTTAATGCTCTGGACTGCGAGGTTGGTTTGCACCACAAGGTCAGGGGTTCAAGTTTACCCGCCGCTCCTCGGAAACCCTATACAGGGTCACTATGAGTTGTAACTGATTCCACAGCACTTAACAACAACCAACAATGACAACATGAGTCAGAATCAACTCAATGACAATGGATTTGTTTAAAATTTATTTTTTAATCTTTATAGAAGCCTTTCTCTTCTGCAGCATGTTGAGTGGGTTCAAACTACCAGCCTTTAGGTGAGTAGTCCAGAGAAACCATTTCACCATATAAGGATTCTTGGTTCCAGTCCCAGGGTCATAGTTACTAGTCCAACGAAGCTACTTCTCTGTACTTTTATCTATCAGCTCCTGGCTATTTACCTTAGAGGCCTGATCGGACTCTTTTGTAAGCACTCAGTCCCACCTCCCAGTGACTTTACTCAGTTTATTTCTCTTCCTGGAACTTACCATCTTATACATACCCATTTAAAAAACAAAACAAAACATTTTCTGGTTATATGTCATCTGTCACTAGACTGGAATCTACATACAGGTACTTTTACCTACTACTCTACACCCATAACAGTGTCCAAGATAGGTGTATATGGTAGTGATGCTTGTGTGTAGGTGAGTAGATTCTGACTCATATTGACCTTGGATAGGGTTTCCAAGGCTGTAAATCTTTGCAGGAACAGAAACCTCATCCTTCTCCCGTGGAGTAACTGGTAGATTCGAGTTGTTGACCTTGTGGTTAGCAGCCAGCTCGTAACTGACTACAGAACCAGGGCTCCTTTATGGTACGTATTGCTGTTGATGTTAAATGCCATCAAGTCGGTTCTGACTCATACTGATCCTTTGTGGGGTTTCTGAGGAGTTATTGGTGGGTTTGAACTGCCAACCTCATGGTTAACAGTCTAGTGTGCTTATTCTATGGTGATACATCAGGACTCCACTCGTAACTAAATATTTTCTGAATAAATGAAATACATGTTCACTCTTCATATAGATTCCATATAGGGGAGAGACAGTTCTGCAAGGGCGAGAAGGGGGAAGGAAGAAAAGGATAGCTAGGGGTCGTTCCCAGCCTTTATTTGCTTCTATTGGCAACACAAAAGCCATGGGTTCAGGGACCGCCCGCTTCAGGGGCCGCTGAACCGGTCTAGGACTTGTCGAGTCCTGCCTCAGTGCAGTTTATCAGAGAATTTCTTCCAAACTCAAGTAATATCTGCCCTGAGAGTTATTGCAGAAAGCACAGTTTTCTTCTCTTGTTACTCCTTTAATGATATTTGCGTTTATGGATTTGCACTCAAGGAAACAGCCTGGCTAAGTAGCTCCTGACCCTGCTCTGTACCGTGCCAAGCATCTACCTGGCCCCAGGCAGAGGACACACTGAAGAGCTATCAGACAGAGACACAGGGAAAAGGCAAGGGGGTACATGCTGTTTGACAAAGCATTGCAGATATTTTATGCTTTGAAAATCTTTTATAGTGATTACAGCAAGTTAACTGCAGCAAACCAGTCTTTTCTAGTAGAGAAGAGACAGGAGGGAGATAATGCCATGTTAGTATAATTTTCAAAATGTTAAAGTAACTTAATCCATGTACAAATGCATTGTGAACACATGCCAAAGTTTCATTTTAACCCATCAAGGAGGGAACATGTAGGATGACAAAGCATTGTAAGAGGAAGATATAGGCAACTGATGTATGAGTGTATGTTGTTAGCTGCCGTGGAGTTAACTCTGAATTATTGCCAACTGCTCTGGTAGTGTAGTGGTTACGAATCGGGCTGCGAACCACAAGGTCATTAGTTCGAAACTACCAGCTGTTCCGCGGGAGAAAGATGAGGCTTTCTGCTCCTGTAAAGATTTACAGCCTCAGAAACCCTGTACAGGGTCGCTATTAGTCGGAACCGACTCCACGGCACACAACAACAACAACAACAAATAGTGTAGTGGTTACGAATCGGGCTGCGAACCTCAAGGTCAGCAGTGTGAAACTATCAGCTGCTCCACGGGAGAAAGATGAGGCTTTCTGCTCCCGTAAAGATGTACAGCTTCGGAAACCCTGTTCAGGGTCGCTATGGGTCAGAATCGACTCAATGGCACTTAACAACAATGTGCATAGCCAACTAATAACCTCATATGCATGTGAAAGCTGAAAGGTGAATAAGGAAGACCATAGAAGAATTGATGCTTTTGAGTTATGGTGTTGGAGGAGAATATTGAAAGTGCCATGGGTTGCCAAAAGAACCAACACATCTGTGTTGGAAGAAGTGCAGCCAGAGTGCTCCTTGGAGGCCAATATGGCCAAACTTCGTCTCTCATACTTCGATCATATTGTCAGGAGAGACCGTTGGTAGAGAAGGAGATCATGTTTGGTAAGGCGGAAGATCAGAGAAAAAGAGGAAGACCCCCAACGACATGGAATGGCCAAGTGGCAGCATCAATGGACTCCAGCGAGGCAACAGTAGTGAGGTTGGCCCAGGATCGGGCAGTGTTTCGTTCTGCTGTGCATAAGGTAGCTATGAGTTGGTACTGACTCGATGGCACCTAACAACAACAACAACAACAACAATGGTGTGGTGCTGTGGGTTCAGGGGCCACACAGCAAAGCCGTTTGAACTGCAAGGTTGGTGGTTCAAGCTCACCAGCTGCTCCTCGGAAACCCTATACAGGGTCGCTGTAGGTCGGAACCGACTCGACGGAACTCACAACAACACAACATATATATACATATAGACACACCCACACATACATATATACAAGGTGGTCTGGTATGGTAGTGACTACGAATCGTGCTGTTAATCTCACGGTCAGCAGTTCGAAACTACTAGCTGTTCGCGGGAGAAAGATTAGGCTTTCTGCTCCAGTAAAGATTGACAACCTCGGAAACTCTATGCGGGGGCGCTGAGTTGGAACCGACTCCACGGAACATAACAATAACAACATATATACACACACATTGTTGTACATATGGATTCATGGTGTGGCGCTGTAGAATCAGCACTGGACTTCGAACCACAAGGCGGACAGTTCAAACCCACCAGATGCTCTTCGAAAACCCTACACAGGTTTGCTTTGAATCGGAACCGAATCGACAGCACTTAACAACATATATGTAATGACATTTGTCTGCCAGTTGTCCTACCATGGTGGCTTGTGTGTTGCTGTGAGGCTGGAAGCTAATGCCACTTGTATTTTGAATACCTGCAGGGTCATGATGACTAGGTTTCAGTTGAGCTGTGTGTAATTTTATAGTTTGTCTTAGTTCCAAACTAAGACAGACCAGGAAGAAGTAGAGGCAGACTAGTTCTGAATGTTTAGCCACTGAAAACCTTAAACATTATCAGATAGTGCAAGCAAAAAGAGAGTGAGCGTGACAAAATGGGGTGAAAAGAGGGTTCAAGGCCAGAGGCCAAGGACACCGCAAAATCTCAAGCAATTTTGTGAGTGGGAAGAACTGTGGCGGGTCCACATAGGGCCAGAGCAGGAGGAAATTGCGATAAAATGTACTATAAAAAGCCCAAAACTGCTTCAATATCTAAGGAAAGTATGAGGCTTGAGGAGCCCTCTATTCACAGTCAGCCTTGCCCTTTGGCTGTCCCCCAGCTGCCCGTGGGTCGGGTTCACGGTCCCCGCAGTTCACAGGAACTAGAGCGAGGAACATGGATGCTATTGATAAATGGGTAAATCTACAGCCATCTCCTTACAAATAAGTCTCCCTCCCTCCGCGAGGACTTTGCATCTTCTAAAGCCCTGGGTCCATCCCGCGTGACAGGACGCTCTGCCCCAGGCAGCTCTTCTCCACCTCGCCAGTCCAGAGGTGAGTCTCCCCACCCCCTCCGCATCCCTGACCCCAAGGTTCGGAACCGAGCGCTCAGGGCGCAGATCAGGCCGCCCGGGCCTCCAGTTTCGGGCGCCGGCGGGCGCGCGTCCAGGCAGGCGTGCCGGGGAGCGCGCACCGGCGGGCGGGCGGGGCTGCCCGGGGCGGAGCGCGGGGCGGAGCGCGGCCAGGCTGCTCGGCGCATCTAGCTCCCGGCCCGGCGCTTCACGCCCCTAGCGCTCGCCGGCTCATAGGGCTCACTGCGGCCGCCCGCTCCCGCCATGCGGGATACGAGCCACTGACCCGCGCCTGCGACCCCGAGAGCCCGGCGTGCCCCGAGAAGACCCAGAGGAGCGATGAGCTGCCTAGCCGGGACGGTCGCAGCGCTGCTGCTCGCGTTGCTGGCAGAGGTAGGGACCGGGGGGCCGCGCCGCCTGGGGCGCCTTCCAGATGTGCTCCTGGAGCGCGAACAATGCCGTGAGCCGAGGGGGCATCGCAGTTTGGAGACGCCCCCAGAGCACCATCTGGAAGAGCCCGAAAGGTCGGGCAGCTAGAGCCACAGCCCCATGGGCTGCATGCGTCCCGCTGATTAAGAAGGTGTTAGGGATCCTGGTGACTGGGAGGCTCCCCTGACCTCTCTGCTTCTGTTATTACTCTTCCATCCTCCCCCTCTCCGTGCCGGAGAGGCTCGGGAATGACCTTTGTGCCCTGTCCCCTTTTGCCCCCCGCGGAGGACCCGAGGACGGGTGGCAGGCAGTGAGTGGGGTCCCTGGGGAGCAAGGCAGGTGGGGAGGCCCTGGAGCGCCGGATGGCTTGGGGGTTACAGTCTTGTTAGCCGGGGTGGGAAGGGTGCAAGTGGGCGGAGGTGAAGTTGTGGGGAATGTCATGGGGATGCCAGGGATAGATCAGGGATGAGCAAAAAGAGGAAACATTCCTGCTGTGAAAATGAAGCGGAAAGTCTTAAGCTTCGAGAGGAAAATTCCACGTAGAGCTCAGTGGTGGGTGTGAGAAGCCGAAGCCCAAAGGAGAAACTTGTTGAGCCCAGGAGGGTGGGGGCTCCTCAGGTAAATGACAGCCCTCTGGGATATGGGCTACCTCTAGCTGGGAAGTTGCTTCTTTTAGTGGAGGTCCACCCCATTGTACTAAAAGCGGATTCTTTAAAATGAGTAAGTGGAGTTCTGGGGCGTAGGATATGAATCAGAACTTGTTCTTCTCAGGCGCATTATTTTGAAGGAAATTTGCATTCAATTAGTGAAGTCAAAGTAAGTGGATAATGAGTTACTTATGTTTCTTCTGGGCTTTTCTATTTTAAAGGGTTGTAAAATTCTTTAATTGGGGGTTACTGCTGGAAATGACTACTTGTTTTCTCCACGTTTTAAAAATAATTGTTACAAAATGTTGGGAGTGGGGGTGGGGAGAGAAGTTTTAGCTCTTCTGGAAGGAAGGTTGATGGAAACGTTTCTCCTTGTCCAGACGCCACCCTAGGAAAGACTTCCTGTTTTTGTTCAAAATATCCCCCTGGCCTGGTATTTAATGTTTCTGTGGAGTGCCTCCCAGCTTTCATTCTTTCCGTTTGTTCAGAATTTGAAACCCGTAAGAATCTCATCCCTTCAGTGCCTCACCAGGGAGGACGAAGGAGATGTGGATCAGAGACCACTATTTTCAATAAACAAATGTGTGTGTACCTTAACGCATCTGTACTTAAAACATGCAGTCCTCTGTTAAAATCAGTGCTTGATGAAGTTATCTAGCATTTTATTCCACTGTGCTACCAAAGTAACTTTTCATAAGGTCTTTTGTCTGCTGTGGCCCTGTGCCCTGCACTTGTATGGAATCTGTACCACTTTAGGAATTCAGTGCTTTCCAAAATAGCTGTTTTATTGGATAGGAAATTATCATCTTAATTTTTATTGTTGTTGTTAAATGTGTGGAGTCCGTTCTGACTCACAGCATCCCTGTATAGGGTTTCTGAAGAGCGGCTGTTGAGCTTGAACCACCAATCTTGGGTTGAAACCGACCTTGCAGTCCAGTTCATTAACCCACAGCGTCACACCAGGACTCCAGTTTTTACTATTAGTTGTCATCAAGTGAGTTCCAACTCAGGCAGGGTAACTCCCTATGTGCCGAACAGAATTTCGTAGGCAGATCACCTGACCGTCTTCCCGGGTGCCTTTTGGTGGGTTCAAACAGCCAGCCTTTTAGTAATAGTTGGGCCACTCAGGGACTGTATCATCTTAATGTTGTTATTGTTAAGTGCTGTCAAGTAAATTTTGACTCATAGCTACCCTGTATAGGGTTTCCGAGGAGCAGCTGGTGAGCTTGAACTGCCGACCTCCATGTTCAAACCAACCTTGCAGTCCAGCGCATTAGCCCACAGCATCACATGTCTGAAAGGTGGAGAGAATCTTAAAAGCAGAACTGGGTGTAAAAGTAAAACTTAAATGACTAAGAGGATGTTTCACCAAGCTGAACATCTGGATGGTTACATTTATTTTTAACTGGAAGGTTGTGGAGCAGTGTCTTTTACATGATTATTGTTGTTAAGTGCTGTCGAGTCAATTCTGACCCACAGTGACCCTGTATAGGGTTTCCAAGGAGCAGCTGGTGAGCTTGAATCACCAACCTTGTAGTTCAAATGACTTTGCAGTCTGACGCATTAGCCCACAGCACCATACCATATTAAGCACTATTTTGCCTGTGACCAAGAGGTGTCTCTGAGGAATTAAGGAGATGTCTTTATAGTTCATCACTTGGAGTTTTACATGTGAGATTTATATGTGACAATTTTCATATGAAATTGATTGCCAGATGAATGTATCTTATCAGAACACTTGATGCTCTTGAGGTCCTAAGTCACTTACAGAAACGTACAACTACAGTTGTGAGGAGGCAAAGGCAAACTTTTCCAGTGAGTACTAAAAATTGTTGAGGGGGTATTTGATGACTTCTGATTGCCGGCTGCAGCGTGGGACGTTTGTCTTTGTTTCTTTGTTCTGCTTGAGCTGGCTTTGGTGTAAGAATTTGTGGTGTACGAATTTGTGGTGTACTTGATCATAAACCACCTGGAGTTGAAGGAGGCCTGTGGGAGCGGTTATGTCCTCTACAGACCTCCCGCCCTCTGTCTCCCGCCCTCTGTCTCGCTTGCCTGCATGCATCACCCATTATGCTACTGAGAGGTCCTTGAGTGGGAGGAAATTTACACTCTGCGTTTAAAGAAGGATTTTCCTTCTCTGCTTCACCATCCCTTTATAGAAGTTTATTTTAAATGTACTGGGAGTCCAGGTGTGGCTCTGTAGGATAAGAACTGGACTGCTAACCAAAAGGTCAGTGGTTCAAACTCCTGGCCACTCCTTGGAAACCCTGTACAGGGGTCACTATGAGTTGGAACAGACTCAACGATACGTAATAACTACAACAGCCTGTTAGGTTAGATGTTGTTGTTGTTGTTGTCGTTAAGTGCTGTTGAGTCAGCTCCAACCCAGAGTGACCCTGTATAGGGTTTCCAAGGCGTGGCTGGTGAGATTGAACCGCTTTACCTTGCAGTTCAACAGTTTTGCAGTCTGGCACGTTAACCCACAACGCCACACCAGGACTCCTAGATTACATAGGCCTCTTTATTTTTTATTTAATGGCACTGATGGGAAGATCTTCCAGCAGCACCTTGAAGGAAAAACCTGGTGACCTGCTTCCGCCAGGGGCACCACCTTGAAAGACCTAGTGTGCAGTTTTACAAGAGTCACATGAGTTGAAACTGACTCTGTGGGAACTGATTTGGTTTTGGTGTTCTAGGGTGCTTACCCTGTGCCAGGCTCATTTGCCAGCCTGTTTTATCCCATTTTTATTTCAAATGGGAGATGCTAAATAACTTGTTTTTCCCCCCAGTATTGAAAATTTGTATTTATTCTTTCCCTTTTAAAACTCAACTGATAACCTGTTCAATTATACTTTTGTTTTGTTTTTTAAGTTTTTATTGTGAATTGAGTGATAGTTTACCTGGGAAAACATCGGTTATACACTCATCATTACGCTGCAATGATTACAGTCCCCTCTGTGCATTATCATTCAACAGTATTTGCTTCCATTCCCTCAGTTTTTTTATTTTTTTGCGGGTGGGGTGGGGGATGTACACAGAAACACTCAGGAATAGAAAATGATTTACACAACCAAAGGGCACACGCTGCAAGCCTGAGATGCCAAATAACTTGTCCAGGGTTTTACTATATTAAATGTGAGTGCCAGAGTACCTGCAGCCCCCCTTCTCACCAGTGTGCTAAGTGGTCTCTCCCACTCCTGTACATTGTTGTTGTTGTTAGGTACCATCGAGTTAGGTACCTTATGCACAGCAGAATGAAACACTGCCCGATCCTGGACCAACCTCACTACTTTTGCCACGCTTGAGTCCATCGATGCTGACATTTTGCCAATCCATCTCGTTGGGAGGTCTTCCTCTTTTTCTCTGACCCTCCGCCTTACCAAACATGATATCCTTCTCCAGTGACGGTCCCTCCTGACAATATGTTCAAAGTATGAGAGACCAACTTTGGCCATCTTGGCCTCCAAGGAGCATTCTGGCTGCACTTCTTCTAAAATGGATCTATTGGTTCTTTTGGCAGCCCATGGCAGTTTCAATATGTGTATATCAAAGGTGTGCACATGGGACATCTGCAGGCAGGGCTTTGGAAAACCATGCATTCCATGAAACGTTGAAACCATATAACTGCTGTTGTTAAGTGCTGTTGAGTCAGTTCTGACTGATAATGACCCTGTGTAGGATTTCCAAAGAGTGCCTGGTGGGTTTGAACTGCCAACATTGTGGCTAGCAGTCTAGTGCTTATCCTACAGTGCCACATCAGCACTCTGGCCAATATAATACTTCCTTGGGAGGTGGGGCATGTACAAATTGTCTTGCAAATGATGGCACCACTGAGTGAAATCACGTGGTGGTATTCTTACCTGCCCCTGAACCTCCAGTGCTAACAAGACTGCCCTGGGAGCTCCCAGCTGATGCCCACCTTAAGCCTCAGGTGTGATGCCACCCCAACTTCCCCAGGAGGTTTCTTGGGAGCTCATCACTGAGGTGATTTATTCTTTCTGTGAAATTCATGATCTGCCAACGAGGTTCCCTATTTCATCCTCCCACCTGCCAGACACTGTCAGCTGGTTATATGGCAGATTTTGAAAGATGTCTCTTGGCTCTAGTTTTCAAGCATTGTGTGTGTGTGTGTGTGTGTGTTTTAAGTGCCATTGAGTCAGTTTTGACTTACAGCCACCTGTATAGGGTTTCCAAGGAGTGGCTGGTGAGTTTAAACTGCTGACCTTGCTGTTCAAACTGACCCTGTGGTCCAGTGTTTATCCTGTAATGCCACACTAGGACTCTGTTTTCAAGATTGTAGTTGTTATGTGCCGTGGA